ACAGGAATTAACTGAATATACACCCCCTGACCCTTGTATACCTATAGACACTTTTGCTAGCACTTAGACCCTTGATGTTCAAACAAAGTTATCTTTCCCTTATCTACACCAATACTATAGGGTAAGGGGTTAGTGTTCTGACACTTATAAGAGATTTTCTTTCTGTGGTTTTTATTTTTTTATATTATTATTATTATTTTGGTTGGGGAGGGGGTGTTGGGGGGGTTGCATCACATTGGAGTATCTGTGAATTTCTCTTCGACAGATTAATGCCATTTGATACAGGTTGCATCACATTGAAGTATCTGCAAATTTCTCTTCAACACATTAATGTCATTTGATACGCACGGAACATATAGAGATAACGAGAAAAAATAACTTCATTTGAGCATTAGGGAGTCTAAATGCAAATAAAAAAGTGTAGGGGTAATAACTGGCTGCTTCTTCAGTAATGGGGGTGTACCTACAATTAACAACCCACCTCATCTTCAATTACCATCCCAACACCATAAGAAGATTACAAAGCATAACATATTCACAATTTTTTGTTAATTGTTCCTGTATCCTTTTAATGTGCATAGCTAAACTAAAATCAATACCAATAACACATACCAATACTAAACTCAAATGCACAACATTTCACAATCTGCCCGAAACTAAGATGGGTTTGATGCTCATAAAAAAATAATTAAAAATCTCAAAATTCATTGATACGTAACCTTGGATTCCCATTGAGTGACATCACTCCTGCAGAGAGAAGTGCAGACGACTTTGACCCGAATCTCCTCCGGCATCGGCGGATCCACCGCCACCTCCTCCACCACCAGCGCCTCACCTGGGCCCCATGCCACCGCAGCTAATTTTCAAACCAAAGCCAGATAAACAATAATTAAGACTTTAATTATTCATTAATTAACTAAAATTATAAAAAGATAATACCTTTGCAGGTGATAACACCAGGACGAGACATTGGCAGAGAGAAGAAATCTCTCTCTCTCTCTCTTCCCCCAACTCCCTCCCTCCTTTTAATTTGTGTTAGAATGAAGACAGCTCAAGAGTTGGTGGCGGGAGTAGGTAGACTGTAACGGGTCGGGTTGGCTCGGATCGAATTTGGTGAATAATTGGTCCGAATAAGTGTTTTGACAAAAACGTCCCTGGAAACTTTGAATTAGGGAAACGCCATGAACTTTGGGTTGATTTGAACTATGTGAATTTTAAAATTAGGGAAAACCCCGTAAATAAATTGGGAGGTTCTCTCTTTCTCAACAAATCCTAGAACGCAGAATTAAGGAGGAGTTTTTTGAAAAACTAGGAGGAATATGTAAAATTCTCCAAAGTTTGAATGGGATTTATTGGAGTATAATTTCATTTATGTACCCTAAAATTTACCAAAATTTTCACTTTGATATCCCAAAATATTTTTTAACACATTTATACTTAGAGTAACTTTAACACTTTAATATCAAAGTTGTAATCTTATTTGACTTTGATACCATCATATATATTTTGTTAGATTTTTTTATTAAATTTGTATCCCATGCTTGCTAAGTGGGATAAAGTGGATCTAAATGTATTGTCTATTAAGGACATCATACAAATTCAACATAAAAATTAATGGAGTATGATTGGGAATTTTAAAGTGAAATACGATTGAAACTTTAGAATATTGGGGTGGTAAAAATTAATTTAAGACGTTATAGTATAACAGGATTGAAACTTTAGAGCATTAAAGTGTTAAGAAAATATTTCAGGATATTTAAGTGAAAAATGGGTAAACGTTAGGGTACTAAAGTGAAATTTAAGGCGGGTTTTCTTCAATTTTCAAAGTCTGAGTGTGGTGCTAATAACCCGGGGTCAGTGTTGAAAATAACACGTTTCGTAACGCAAAATAACGCTTAACGTAACGTAACGGTAGCTTAACGTTACGTAACGTTTGAAAATAACGCAAAGACAAAATAACGCACGTTATTTTAGCTATAACGTAAGTTACGTAACGTAACGTCATAACGTTTTATAACTTAGGTTATTTTGTCAATGGCTTAGATTGCTTTTAAAAGAAATGAACGGTTGTGATTGAGTTATAACTTAGGTTATTTTCCGCCTCCCCTTCCCCTTTTCACGCCTTTTTCACGCTGCCCGCAGCTCCGCCTCCCCCTTCCCCTTTTCACGCCCTTTTCACTCCGCCTGCAGCTTCCCCTTTTCACTCCTTTTTCACACCGCCTGCAGCTCCGCCTACCCTTCCCCTTTTCATGCCCTTTTCTTTGCTACTTTAGCCTGCAGCTCCCCCTTTTCACGCCACCTTATCCAAACATAAGCATGCTTTTGGTTTTGGGTTTATGGATCATTGGATCCTTTCATTACAACTTGATTCATAATTTCATACTCATGGATTCCAACCCAACCCAATAATTTCATACTTCATAGTTTATGGATCATTGGATCCTTTTTGGTTTCGAACTTGAAGTATTTTATGCTTTTGGATTGATTGTTAAGGCAAACATGGTTGATTTTATTGTGAAATTGTGATGATATATTGATTTGTGAAATTGAAAATTGCGATGATTATTCATATTTTTTTTATTTTGAATGTTATATATCTATAAACTATTTAAATAATAATAAATTATTTAACCTACGTTACGCTATGCGTTATCGCTATTGTAACCTAACTGGAGGTAAGCGTTACGCTATGCGTTATCTTTATTTTCAACATTGCCCGGGGTTATGTTACCCAAGATTAGTTTCACTTTTTTAGAAGAACCCTTGAACTACGGAGGTGTTGTGGATAACCATTTGAACTTTTAAATTTGAGAAAAACCATAAGCAGGGCCGGACCTAGGGGTAGGCCGGAGAGGCCTTCGCCTAGGGCCCCCAAAAAACAAGGGTCCCACTATCATCAAATGATTGCATTATCTCTTCATAAATTATCTATAGACAGTATGCTAATTTTTTGATGGTATATAACTTTCATCGTGCTTTATTATGCACATGACACTGTTTTTAATGTTGCTTGCACATTATAACTTTTTTATGTGTGATTATAAGCTCCAATTGTAGAGGGACAATGGGCAAATTAACTGCTATGCATGTGTTGACTTTCTGTTATATTTTTTCAATCTATCTCTACAGAACTGTATGCTAATTTCTATTCATGGGTTGTGCTTTATGCAGTGCATCCTAAGTGCATTTCAATTTAAGTTGCTTTACTATATGTATTTGTTCTGTTTTGATTTATCTTATGATGATTGGATCTTAGAGTGTATGCCAAATACTTTGTTTTTACTATGTCTTTGAAAGAAGCTTTTTAAAGTTAAAACTGATCAAATATTACATTCGATCAACTATGCCACAAGAAAGATTGAATGCTATATTGTCAATTGAGAAAATGTAGTGGAGAAGCTTGATTATACGAGTGTAATTAATGATTTTGCATCTAAAAAATATCAATTGAGAAAATGTAGTGGAGAAGCTTGATTATACGAGTGTAATTAATGATTTTGCATCTAAAAAATACAAGAAGATGCTTTATAAAGCGATAATGATTTTGCATCTAAAAAATACAAGAAGATGCTTTATAAAGCGATACTTCTATTGGTTCATTGATCTTTTTTTGGGAATGAGAGTGTAAGGGTGTGATTTGTAAGCCTTTGGCTAAGGTGGGTAGCTTAGGAGAGCTACATTGTGTTTGATCCTTAAAATTAGTTATAGCATCCCTTGGTATATAGGCAACCCTAAAATTACATGGGTGCAACACTTTATTTTTAAAAAAATCTTGAATATAAGAGGGCCACTTTAGGATTTTTGTTCAAGTTTTTGCTTAGGGCCCCCGAATGCTCAGGACCGGTCCTGACCATAAGGCTGTTGCAGATAACCTTAAAACCTTTTTTTATTCCAACCCATACACTTTGAAGTGTCTCATAATCTCTCCCTAAGTTTTAAACTTTTTCGCTACAATGTTTCTCTGTAAAGGACAAATACTCAAAAATTTTGAGAGAAAAAACTTGCAATAAGGACAAGAGGGTAACTTACTTGTAAATAGCAAATGAGTATATTGATTAAAAAAAATCTTCTCAAGAACAATTTAATTATTTGCCAACTACAAGTAAAGGGGTTCATGCAAGAAAATTTTAAAGTTCATGGAATTTTGCGAGACACCCTAAAGTTCAGGGAGCTAATAAAAGCGTTTATGAGGGTATGCAATACTCTAAGTTTAAGGTTGTTTTCTCTTATTAAAAACAGTTCAAAAGGATACCTACAACACCCGCCAAATTTCAGGGGGTTTTCTTAACTCAGCCCTTTAAATTACATATGACCTCCTCCCGGACAATATCATACTCCCTTTAAAAGTATGAGTTTGGAAAAATCTTTCGGTAGACAAAAATACCATTAGAATTCAAATAGTACTCAATTAAGAGTAAGTTGATAATTTATGAATTTTTATTGGATATACATAGTATGAAGATAATGATATAGTTTAAATTATAATGTAAACATGAATGAAATTATTAAATACTAAATTTATAAATGTCTACAAGATGAATGGCGTATATGCAAAACCCAAATAAATTAACCAGAAAAATAATGTATGCCCCAAAGATCGAACATATGAACATCGCAGACCTACAAATGTACATAATGTGCATGAGATATTTGCAAAATCTACCAAACAAATTAAAAAGACAAAAGTATTTCTCAAAATTATAGAAAAGGAAAATTAAAAGAAACGGCTGCAATCTGAGGACACAACGTGGTGGCCTCTCATTGGCTAAATTTCAAGTAGTTCACAGTACTGTATAATTTGTTTCAAAGTTTAATTATACTATTATTATTTAAATAGAACTCTATTTACAATTGATATCGTTTCACATGCAACAACGCATACCAATATATATAAGCTAAGAAATTATGTAAATTATAATAATTTTTATAGCACTTTCATCTCCTTCTATATGTATGTGCTTTTGTTATTTTCTTCTTATTAGATTACATTAGATTATTTTAAAGAAACTAATTATATTGTATATTTAACCTTTTCTCATATCAAGAAATAGCAAAAATATTCACAACACTGTCATCTATTTTATTCTTATTAGATTATATTAAATTAGTTTATTTTAAAGAAATTAATTATATTATATGTTTGATCTTTTTTCAGATAAAAAGTTATAATAATTTTCATAGTACTTTCATCTCTTCCAAGAGGCATGTGTCTTTGTTATTTTCTTCTTATTATATTAGATTAGATTGTTTGAAATTATGAATTATGAAATTACAATAATTTTCACATCACTTTCATCTATTTTCTTCTTAGGGCCTGTTCGTTTGTTTTCTAAAAACCAAGAAATGGAAATGGAAATGGTGAAAATCTCAAAACTCACCATTTCCTCCATTTCCATCCCTAAAACTCACCCACAACATCCAATAAAATATTATTTCCATCCAACAACTCATCCACATCATCTAATAAAATATGATTTTCATCTAACCACTCATCCATCACATCTAATAAAATATTATTTTTATCTAACAACTCATCCATCACATCTAATAAAATATTATTTTCATCCAAACATCACTCAACTCATCTCTTCTCATCATTTCAAATCACTCACATCATCCAATAAAATATTATAACAATTCACCTCATCTCATTAACATTTCATTTCTTTATTTTCATCCCAAAAAGTTATGAAAACACTTTTCTTAATCTTTCTTCACATCACCCAATAATACAATGACAACTCATCTCATCTCATTTCATTTCTTATTTTTAAGAATGAACCGAACAAAAGAAAACAAGAAACTACAGGAAATAGGTTTCTTATAATTCATTTCCTTATTTTTTCGCCAACAACCGAACACTCCAAAACTAGTTTTCTTAAAAAATCACAAACATCATCCAATAATAAGGTGACAACTAACATCATTTCAATTTCATTTCTTTGATTTCCTTCTTTTTTAGCCAACCAAACACTCCAAAAACAATTCTTCATTTTAATAGTTTTCCATTTCTTTGATTTCCCT